GGGGGGGGGGGGGGGGGGGGGGGGGAGAACCTTTTTTATGTGGGCAGCAATGGATTTGCAATCGAAAACATCATAGAGATCCAGAGCTTTAGACGCAGCGTCCATGGCTTGGATCTGCATCTTGCTAGGCATATCTGTGTCCTGTACCGAAGCTTTGCCTTCCAACATCCTTTAGCCCTTTTCTAAAAACAGAAAACTGTCTGGGATTTGTTCTCGCCGATCTCTTCGCGTCTTATCTTCAAAATCCAGAAAAGATTTTACCAATCTCGAATGTTTCGTTCTTCCAGGAGTAAAATCAAACACAGATATAAGAAGGAAGCAAATGGACGATGATTTTAAACAACGAAAAACTCTGGAATCCCCTCTCCCAAATGTGACGGAATCTTTTGACATTCAAGTTTAACCTGGCACAGATTCCAATTAATACTATTTTTCAGTCATTTTCTCTCCCCACTTTAAGGACCTTTAACAATATTCTATTAATGAAAATCTCATTTTTCATTATCTTCCTTACACTTTTCCCGCTGAAGATAATTATGGGTAAAGGATAAAGCTGCTGAGGCCAATAATGAAGCCAAGTTTTTCGTTGGATTTTTCTGTTAACGAGTCGACGTGGGATAGGGCCGTTAGGTTATGTTCCAAAGTTAAAAAACACTGCACAGACAAATTTACTCGCTCTGTGATGTGGATCAAGGTGAAGGGTCCTCGTGGATTGTTTGCAGCCTTCCGATCAAGGCGGTCTGAACATCCACAACAAAGTTCTTAGATAAATCAGTCAAAATGGAGAATTTTTCAGTGTTGGATTGGACAATGGACAAGGGTTTTAGATAAATCTAGAAGAAGATAAATATGAAAGATGAAATCTTGTTGACGCCAATCTTACCAGTTTCAGCGACTTATCCAATTGTTTTGATAAGGAAAGAGAAAAAAGTTTAAAAGGAAAAGTCTTGGCTGACATACAGGAGTGAGAATGGAATCATATTCTCTACCGTTTTCAAAGAGAGATTATTTCTTTTGGCATTGGAGAAACCCACTAATTGTAGAAGAGAATCCGTCAAGAAAGTAAATGGGAGATAGATATCATTAAAGAACCAAGGAATATATCAATGGAAAAATATCAATAGCACTAAATTGGTGATAGTGGCTTTGGTTAATGCACATCATAACCCCCCATGTACTTTGACAAGCACTCCTTGAAAATTCCCACGTTCGTAGCTACATCTTTACAGAACTTTACCATCTTCTTATCTAATTCTTCCGATAATACTTTTAGGGCCACATTCCATGCAGAATTCTTGATCGGTTCTCTTCCAGAACCTGATTTTCTGCAATGAAATAAGAGTATGGCTTCATTTTTAGTCATTTAAAGCCATTCAGAGATGGTTGAGGAGACAAATCTGATACAGTTTTGTTAACACTCTTGCACAGAAACAGAAAGAACTTTACAAAGGTGGACTCTTTATTGACTGAGGTATCTCTGCACAAACCAACAAAAAAATAATCTGCGGACAAATTTCTTATCAACTTCATTCACAGACAGATAACTGCATTGATACGAAACTCAGGACTCAGTGAGCCTAGTTGTGCAATAACTGCAATAGAATCTCACTCATATGTGCATGAATTCTTCTTGAACACGATGGCTTTGGTGCTGGTAGAATCAATGCCTACTGGACAAGAGATTTGCTTTATATGCGTTGTTCTCACTAGCTTCCCAACAACGTTTCCTCGGGATCGAATTTTGAACACCAACGTCATTGGAACCGGACCACTTGTTGAGGGAAGAGACAAAGTTGATGCAGCTCCATACATGGGAACCTTGATTCCTTCCAAATTGACAGATACTGTCCGGTGACTGTTTCTTGGTTGGTAATATTTCCTCAACTGCACATAGGATCATCATAAGGCATATGATTTAATGTCTTTGGTCGATTTTCGGTTACAGAATCACAAATTCTTGATAAGATTTACATTCCAATCCTGGATTTTGTGCTTAACCCTTAGCTTTATTGCCTAAGGCAAGCCTACGATGCATTTAACAGAATGACCTCCAATCCAAGCTTTTTTTTCAAACCAATTAGTTCCAAAGCTGTGAGTCAAAAAACAGAAACTCAGTAGAAGTTCATTACCTGACCAGATGCCACAACAATCTCTGAATAAATTAGATCAATTGGTGTGGAGGTAACATGAATGCCAAATATTGTTGCAGGGTTGTATACGCTTAACCTCAATGTGCTATTCAATGTCAGTAACTTGGTAGGAACCCCAGTGGAATCTGAACCTTCCCCAACATAGAAATTATGCACAGCCAAGCTCTGAAAGGATCAGATTGTACATTAAACAATGAACGCTCTGTTCATGAAGTTGGAAATTGACACGGTCAAGAAGAGAGTTTAAGGTCAAAAGAACTGTGACGGATATATATAAAAGATTAACATACTTCAAGCTATCAGTTTCTTTATTGTTTGACGATCTTCTTTGAATATGTTCTGGTCTATAGGTTGTATAACTGCGTCCTTAGTTTTAAAGCTTTTTTTTTTTTTTTTGGTCAAATATAGGGTCTTACGATGAAATTTCTAGCGTATCATTTCTTCTCTAGTAAACATAGATGATCACTTCACTTTACATGATCACTTATTTATTCATCAGGAGGGTGAAGAACATATAAATATATCCAACCATATCAATAGCTATTAGTAACTTGATTACCTTGACAGAAATCTGTGCCTTGAAAGGCCTGCTGGCGCCCCAAATGATCAAGCATAAAAGAGTGAACAAAGTAATGAAACTCAGCAGAGCAATTATTGCCTGAAAGCGTCGTGAGAGAGCCTTGTCCTCAAGGTCATCATAGGGCCCTTCTTCCATAATCACATTACACTCAGGCCACCCCTTGTCATTGCTCTGTTTCTTGCTCCCTTTTCTGCCTGAAGATGACCGGAAAATACCAGAAAATCGGCTCGCAGATGAGTTTCTTGAATGACGGCCGAACGACGGGTGTGAAGGTGACTCAATTGGGCTATTGTTATAGATTGGAGTAGTGTGCATTGATGAAGATTTATCCCCATCATTAGAACACCTTGAAGGGCTCTGCACATAGTATGTTGGTCGCTTTGGTGACCTTGAAGGCGACGATGGCGCCAAACTGGTAATATCAGACTCAGATTTTGCCGACAGCATTTCTTCAGAGATTATGATAATTGAAGATAGTTTCAGAACAAGAATCAGATAGCAGTTGAAACCCAGATGAAGATTTAGAAACAAAAAGCACTAACGCATTCAATGGAACCTTGTATTACTAGAACAAGGAATTGATACAACTCTCCATTTCAAAATGGTCGTCTCAGAATTCCAAAACAGGGGAAAACTCTGCAACTCTCTGCTCAAAGGCCAAGTAGGAAGAAGATGAAATGGGGTAAGCTCTGAGCACCACCGAAGGCCAAAAGGCTCGAAGCCAAATGACAACCACTAGTGGGGGAACGAGTGTCGGCAGCTGCTTGTTATTGGATAGATTAAATTATAAAATTTCCCCGTTTTCTTTATTTTTTCTCTTTTAATTTCAATGGGTGTGGAGACTTTTACATTTTTAATTGTTTGGTGGTTAGTCATAAATTCTTTTTTCAAATTTTTTTTAAGACTTAGATTAGATTTGTCTTACTTGAATTTTGTTTAAATGATTGCTCCTGATTTTTTTTTAATAAACAGATGCAAAATGGGTACATTTAAACATATAATTTGTCAACATACTTTTAAATTTGAAAGTTGCATTATTCTTATTTTTCTTTTACTTGATTTAAAAACTACATGAGTTACGTCATTCAAATTATATATAATTGGCGTGTCATAGCAAACGAGAGCAAACATGGTCTAATTTTATATTTTGCTTTTGTTTTTGTATTTTGCTTAACAAAAAGTAGGTTGAAACTGCTTTTTTTTGTTTATTTAATCAAATCATGTGTGATCAAATTGTGCTAAGTTTAGCCATTAAGATTGCCGAAAATCACATTGGAAAGTTAAGGCAATAATTTATTATCTTTAAGAACAATATAAAATATAGAATGTCACCTACTGTATTATAAATAAGATTAAATGCCAAAAGATTCCCATAAAGTGGCACCAAATTGGGTTGGGGTGCTAGTGATGTAGTAGTTATAACCGCAAGATCAAGACAAGCAATAATTCATCGTTTTTATAAAAGTTTATGGAACAATAATTATTAATTATAATTCAGCTTACTTATTAGTTTTTTTTTTTTTTTTTTTTTTTTTTTTTTTTTTTTTTTTTTTTTTTTTTTTTTTTTTTTTT